TATTGGAAGGAACGGATTGAAGGGACTGTTTATGATAAGGAAGGGATTGATGGGACTGTCTATTGCAAGGAACGGATTGAAGGGACTGTTTATGGAAAGGAAGGGATTGATGGGACTGTCAATTGGAAGGAGGGGATTGAAGGGACTGTTTATGGGAAGGATGGAAGGGGCTGTTTATGGGAAGGGTGGAAGGTACTTTTTATGCAGAGAATATATTTAATATTATGGGAAAAAAGTAAAATTTTAGATTTTTTAAAAAATGTTTCAGGTTCTACGATTAACAGTTCTGGAGCATGAAAAATCAAATAAAAAGGTAGAAAAAGACAGATTGTTATTTGATTAGTACCTTTGCAACCCTTGAAATCTGAAATTCGTATTTTAAACACAGAATCGGAGAAAGGTTGGAATGGTACCTGGTCAAATAGTCAAAAATTAGAAAATTAGAGTTTGAAGGAGTAAACAGTTCCTTCGAACAAGACTGGGTTATTTTTGAAAATTTCAAACTTTTTTAAAGANGGGGTTTACAGCTGACAGAAAACTCCAGGTACAGGGTTAACCACTCTCTTGGTTGGGGTTTACAGCTGACAGAGAACTCCAGGTACAGGGTTAACCACTCTCTGGGTTGGGGTTTACAGCTGACAGAGAATTCCAGGTACAGGGTTAACCACTCTCTGGGTTGGGGTTTACAGCTGACAGAGAACTCCAGGTGCAGGGTTAACCCCTCTCTGGGTCGTGGTTTATAGCAAATACTCCAGTTCAGGTTTAAACACCCTCCAGATGGGGTTTACAGATGATAGAAAACTCCAGGTCCAAGGTTCAACACTATCCGGATGGGGTTTAGAGTTGATTTAGAACTCCAGGAGCAGGGTTAACCAGTAAACATGACTTAGAAAGACCATTTTCGAGTCGCCTTTGATGGATATCTTGGTAAAAGTGTGTATCAAAAATAAGCTGCACGATGTACAAGTATAAGGTTTTCATGAAAGAAAGCTTATAAGCGAACTTGAAGTCAATCAACTTTTTGTTTTACAATGTCTACAAAAAGAAAATGTTCACAATTGAAATAGAAGATGGGCGCCACCCTGCCAGCCTAGTACTTGAAAAAAGACAATTGATTTTAGATAGATAGATAATCAAGGAAGTTTTCATCAGAACCAAGGATTTTAGAATAATAAATTGCACTTATTTTATCGTTTTATGCCGTAGAGTTTATTTTTANAAGGGGGACTTTGTTGACTCAATAAAATCTTTGGTTTCCAGGGGGTTTTCAGGGATCAATCTGGAATTTTCTTGCGTTTGAAAGGCTTAAAAATGTAACTTTGAAAATGTTTATTCAAAGACGCATTTTCCCCCCAAAGTATTTCAGTATATGGACAATAAATGATTATAATCCTGATATCTTTTACTATAAAAATGTAATTTTTATTTATAGTCGGCATCATTGTATGTTTTAATTGAAATATAAACTTTATACAGGATGTTCCACGAAAATGTCAGAAGCAAGACGATTTGAAGCCGAATGTCGTCTTTGATTGAAATTTAATTAAAGAATTTAAATCTTCATTAATTATGAAAGCACAAAAAAGGCAGTGCAGGCCATATTTTGGAAATGGCAGGGTTTATTTAGAACAGATTTAGAATAGAATAAAACTATGGTTTCTGAGAAATATAAATGTCAGAAATACAATTCTTGGAAGTGCGTAAATAATTTGTATTTTTGTTTAGGTTCGGGAGGAGAGATTAGATCTCAAAGTAAGTTTTATATCATTTTATTTTTACACAATATTACGATCATACATGGTGGTCCACATCATGAATAGATCGTTTTCAATTTGTATTGGTAAACATACAGGGTTTTCCACAAAGGATGAGACTTTTTGACGTAGCTTTTCTTACACTGATAGTTCTCTTTAGCTTTAAACTTGTTGCTTTGTCAAATTATTTAGTAAAAGTACAAAAACTATAAGACCGAAGATAAAGTTTAAACCTCAGATCGTCAGAATCAAAGAGTTTTAGGTCGTCATTAAAGTTTTATCCTCTGTGAGTAACCCTGTAGGATAAAATCTAAAAACAAGTATATTTTAAAAGATTGACATGACTTAACCTATTCCAAAGTGAATCAGACATTCCTCTCTATGAATGAAGAGTCCCTTAAACTGATTGATGATGTTCAGGAAAGTGTAGAAGCTGAGTTGACCCAGCTGCTCGCTGACCGTCTTCAAATCTCTCTCAGGTCAATTCTAATGGAAAAAATTCAAAGATTTGACACTGGCCTCAAACTCTAATTTTCCAATCCTTTCATTTTGCAAACTGATATTTTATATTGATATTGATACATTCTCAGAAATCTAAAATTTAAATCTAACAAATTCAACTTGGAGCATTATTAGTCAAATGTTGATGAATGATAAGGTTTATCCAACAAATGTTGATGAATGATAAGGTTTATCCAACAAATGTTGTTGAATGATAAAGTTTATCCAAAAAGATTTGACGAATGATGCTACTTAGTGGAATTTGGCTCCGGTGCTTCAACAAATTTTGTTAAATGAAAATATTCTTATTTTTATATCTTTGCAACCTGCAACCTTTGATATATCGAACTATAGATTCTGTGAGATCCAATATCCTAAGTTGGAAAAATGTGAAAGGTTTATAAACCATCAGGTTGCAAAGATATAGGAATTAGAAAAATCAAATTTTAAGAATATTGTTTTCTGAACAGCGTTGGACTATTTTGCCTTACTTCCGTCACAACGGACATTTTAAAACTCAATAAACCTACTTTTTTTATTCAAATAAACAATTGTTCAAAAATAAAAATTTCTTAATTAACTTAATCCTAGATATGAACCTGAACCAGGGAGATTAACCCTTGGGGTTATGACTGCCAGGAAAAGATTAAAACTAAAAAAAAAAAATCTTTTTTCATTTAACGAATCAAAAATTAATAATTGACCCGATTGATTTTAATTGATTACTATTTTTATTTTTACAACGATTTCTCCAAAATTCTGGGTAACATTTGATATGTATTGAGAACAAAATCAATATACTTAAAGTTAAAAATTTTCATTATTAAAACTTTTTGAATTAAGTAAAAACCACTTTAACCCCAAATTTAAATACAGGGTATATCTGTACAAAAAATAAGATTTAAATGACGGCATGAAACGATTTGAAGATTGATTGTTGGTTTTTGCATTTAATCTTCCATTGATGGCAATAAGACAGAATCTAGTTTACAGCAGAAAACATTAAATATTAAAACAAAGACTGACAAATTTTATACTTACATCTCCAAATCTCATCCTTTGTGAGTGACCCTTATATTTTTTAAGATACAAAAGCTCAGTAGTATTATTTTTAATGTAAACTTTGTACTTATTAACTTTAAAATAGAAGGAATTTTTATTGAAGTCAGTTAATTCTCATGTTTACTGAGACACCACAAGGTTAAAAATCCTTATATTTATCGAGACACCCAGTAATTTAAAATTCCTGACTTCTTGTCTGTTTTGATCTGATGAACAATTAGAATCCTGTCAATACCAGTCCAGGATAGAGATGCAGGCATTCAAAATTAATTTTTTTAAACAATATTTTAAATAATTGTTGTTTTTTCTTGTTTTTGTGCCGAGCCAATATTAGTCTTTTTGATATTTCTGACAGAGCAAAATTCAATTTTAAATACAGGGTACACAGAAATTTAGTATATACACTTAAAGGGTCTGTCGACGTAATTTCAAAAACTCTCTACATTTAAAAAAAGGGTTGCATGTAGGGTGTGTAGCCAACAAAACGTTTTGCGAAAAAGTGCGAAATTTTTTGTACGCATTTAGCTAAGTTTTTGCAAAATTTCGCAATGCGAAAACGATGTGAAATTTTACGAAAAAAAAATTATGTATTCCCAAAATTTTTTTTAATGAATTTTCGCAAATTGTCTACGCAAATTTAAGATTAAGTTTTCCCCGTTTTTCAATTTGAAAATCGATAATTAATCAATTGTGATTCTCTTTAAAGTGATTTGCGAAATTATGCAGCAAAGAATTAAATTGAAGAACAGTTCATCTCTTAATTCAAGACAAAAAACAAAATATCGTCAAAAAGAAGAAAAGACTAAAGGGGGTTGCAGGCATGTAACGCTTTAACTTGAGGGTCAATGTTGTATAATATATACAGTTCCTTCAACCTTGTTTTCCTTCAAAGCTACAGAAAAGGAAATATAATATAATTTTTTATACAGGGTGTCCCACGAAACATGACAGTAGCAAGACGACTTGAAAGTCTTCTTAGAACATTGAATTTATTTGTTACATGCAGTCGTCAACCTACTTTCACATGTATACCATATAAAACAAAAACAACCAAATTTTCATAGTCCTGATATTCCAAAATGTGGTCTGCCTTTTTTGTGTTGTCTATTAATATTCTATTTTAGACGTTTATGTGAAAGTTACATTGTTCGAAGGAAAGCGGGTAATTAAAGCCAAGAAGACTCGACTCATTAATATAAGGTAAATTTATAAATTTATTGTTTAATCCTTTTAAAACATTTATTTGGAGGGGGGGGTCTTTATAAACTTATTAAATATGCAAAGATGAGTTACAAGGTGTCAGGGGGGGGGGGCACAATGCACAGGCAGCGAAGTTGTTTTCCACATTGACTTAACATATAGTGAGATTAATAAATTTGAGAATTTGAGGACCATATTGTGTCTGTTGCAAGATATGTATTTACTAAACAAGATTTGTTTTTATGAATTTTACTTGAGACTTCAGATTTTTATAAATGTTGAATACTAATTCCTAATATTATTGTTTTTACCAAAATATCTTAAAATCTTAACGTTAATAATCTCTTTACAGGAAAGGGGAAATAAACTTTTGAATAAATATTTTGTTTAATTTTAATGATTTGATAACACATCCAAAATTGTAAGAAATGTAACGTTGATTTTTGAATTTTTTCCTTTAACTAAAGTAATAATCTTCATCATTGATGTTGTTTTTATCAATTTTAAAATTGACAATATGTATTCAAAAATGTCAGTTCGTATAATATACATATGTGTTAAAAAATGCCCGTTTTTCGATTATAATTGCGTTAAAAAATTTCGCCTGCAGCGCTTCATTTCATAAATGTGAACCCCCCCCCTTTCAAAAATCTTTGATAGGGCCTGTCAAGGTTATAATGCAATGACAGTTATTTCAAAGGTGTACACATCTTTTGTACTGCAGTGTACTGTCTCTGGGTGGTAATGTAAACCCAAGACGACTGTCGAAGCCTGATATGGGATCCATCTTTCACATAAAAGATCAATGAAATATTATGGTCATAGGAAACTATTATGTGAATTATCAAAATTATCAAAATTTAATGCTTTTAACCTCCTCGGATACTTAACGAATCTATTCTTGTTTACAAATTCCGCCCAGAGAGAATTGGTTTCAATATGTACGCAGAGTATACGCAACTGCAAATAATTTTCCTTGCATTAGTACCTTGGGGCCTGTAGGGTGCCATGGGGGCCAAAGGGGGACGCCGACCTTGACAATGTTTCGAGGTTCATCTAGATTCGAGAGGGGGTCACAGTACGTCCCATGATTTGATATTACAGAATGGATTCAAATAATTACCTACCTATGTTTCTTGGGACATCCAGTATTTAATACAGTGAGACCCAAAAAACTTTGGATTTGGAAGACGACTGTTACCCAATTTTTATAAATTTTGACATGAAACTCAGCAATTGTGAAACTGTACACAAAGCAACTGGTAAAACCATTTGCATACATAAAATTACTAGAATATTGTCTTCTTATTCTATGATTTATGGGTCTCACTTTTTGATAATTCATTATGATATTTATATTCCCGTGGTAATCAGAAACTAGAAAAGAAATAAGACGACTTCTAGTTTTTTGGTTATCATTGTGTTATATATCTATAGTGAAGAAGTTTGTTTCAATGAGAGGTTTAGTATCCTTCTTCCTTCAACATTCCTAGACGGAGTCTCATGTGTGGTCAGCCTGTGTTCTAGGTAACAAGGGTGTCCCACGAAGCATGACTGTTCACAGTCTCTCAACTGTCAGGTTTCGTGGGACACCCTGTAGGTTTGCGTTCGTATAAGGCGTCATATTAAATCAGTTTTTTAGCATTCGAGTATTTTCGGTTTTCTAATGGATTCGACATAACCGACAAGGTCTAACATTTTTTAAAATTTAAATCTCTTAAAGCTGCGTTAAATACATGTCTTCAAATTTTGAACATTAGCCTTTTCCTCAGTGAAAAACAGATTTTTTAACATATTTTAAAACTTCTTAGATTTTAGGGGACATCTTGAACAAAACTAAAAAGTAATTTCAAATGACCCTTGCAGTGATAGAGTCCACTGCGGTAATCTTATAAGCGTTGTCTTATCAAGTTTAGTATGAATTAGATATCCATGTTTTCATTTTAAAAAATGTTTAATTTCATAAGTGGTTTCTTTGCTTACGTACAACTTTCGCTTTTTTGCTTCAGAAACAATGAAGATATTATCAAAATTAAGCCAGAAAACCCACGTTCTCTTTCACATTATTGATCAGATTAAACTTCATATTTGCACGAGGAATGAGGACGCCATGTTTTTAGTAAAAAAATGACTATGATGGGATTACAAAACTAGGAAACTAATTAATCTTATCTAAGACAAATCAGATTTCTTTCATAAAATTTACATTATTTTCTTCACATTATCAGAGGTAGTCATTAACTTGTTTATTTTTTAAAAGTTCTAGAAAAAATTGAAAAGTTTTACAAATTTAAAAATCGTTCATTCTAAATCCAAACATTACAATGTCAAATTTAAACCTTAAGCGCCGCAAATATTTAAAAAAAAATAAACTAAGAAACTACTTGTTATCCACGTGTGGTATTATTTCGAAACGATTTATTCCTCCTCTCCAGTCTCCATTGTATCCATTTTTTATTTTTGTTTCATTTATCCTTCATTCTAGGCAAAATACTAACACACACACACGTACAATTTCGAAGTTGTGCATTTTTACACTAAGCACCAGAAAACTCTGGAATAGGAAGACGACTTTTAGACTCAAGTTCAGATTTTAAAAAGTTCAATGTACATCTATTTAGAAATATTTGAGTCAACTCGTTTTATAAATGATTTTTAATCTACTAGTAAAACTATTTGCTTTGTAACAACATCTAACACAATACATAGTTTTTTGCCTTAATGTCGTCTTTCTATCCCACTGTTTTCTGGTTTTCACTTTATGATTATTGATTTAATATTCAGGTCTGCGCTAGGAGTTAAGCAAGTGCTTGGAAGAAGTTCCGTTGGTCCGTATGCTTTCTGTAGTGGGCTTGGTTTAGAACAGTGGCAGGCAGGCAGTTCAAACAGTCATCAAGCAATAATAATTTATCTATCAACTAATCAAAATTAAATGCACATTAATTAATAAATTATTTAAAATTCAATACAATTCAAAAATTCAATGAATAAATCTAAATTAAAAGGCAAATAAATTGATTAAAATTCAATGCAAATAAATCAACCAATAACTTAAGATTTAGTGCAAACTAATCGATCAATTAATTAAAATTCAATGCAAATTAATTAATCAAAATTCAATGAAAACCAATTAATCAAAATTCGATGCAAATCACAATTAGTTACAAACATAAACTTTTCTCTTTTTCTTTTTATAATTTTTTGTCTGTTGTTATTTTTTACAGAAAAAAATATTTATAAATATTTTAGGTTTTTGGCATTTCAGATTTTTCAAAAATATGTAACTATTTTCAAAGCAGTATGCTCAATAAGTTTGTTTTTATAACATTATGTAATGTTTTTTTTCCGACAAAACTTAACCAAAACGATCGTCAAAATCGTTTAAGGTAGAGGTCTGTAAAGTCACTTGTCAGAGACAAATTTGTGCAATTGCATAGAAATGAAGCTTTCCCATAAAATATAAAAATAAATATAAAATATAAGATTCTTTCAGATCAGGTTTAAAGCATATTAAAACCTCAATGTTTAAAACGGATCTGAAAACGATGACCACTGTTTGACTTAAAATATGCTCGTCCAAAATTTTGATTTGTAAATTATGAAAATAATTGTTTTCCCTCATTTAGAATAAAAAACTACGCTTTTTCTATTAATTTGAACATTTGAGGTTGTTTGACTTAAAATATGCTCATCCAGAATTTGGATCAGCTATTGACAAGTAAATTATGAAAATAAATTTTTTCAACATTTTGAATAAAAACTATTTGAACTGATCTGTTACTTAATTCTCCTGCAGGTTTCTTCAACACAATTTGATAAAAATGTTAACCATTTTTTGGGCAACTCATTAGGGTAATTACGATTAATTAACTAATAAAATAATCGAAATTTAGTTGATCCAAGTATATTAAAATGGATTAACAGAACAGTTCGAAAACTATAGCAAGGAAAATATGCGCGAAATATCTTGGAAGTTTAGTAAGAAAACTTAGTAATAAGAAAAAAACATGTTTATTCTACATCTAATATTTATACAATAATCTAGTAGAAAGTATAACATTCTGACGTCTCAAATTTTACATAATAATATGAAATTGAGATGTTGAGTTTTGTCATTATTTTAATATTAGATGTCCATACGGTTAACTGACTAGATTTGAGAGTATTAGGTTTACATGAAAATCTAAATATGAAATTGGAACTGAAATTTTGCTCGCCAAGTTTTCCAGGTTACTTTAGCTTGCAATGACGATCCTCTGAAATATGGTTGAATTCAAAATATTATGTAACCTTCTACATTACACCTATACAACATATTCACACGAAGGGTTAAATAGTGAAGACAATATTGAAGTGAAGCTGCGACAAAAATTGCACGAAGAATGTTATCTAGTTGAGTCTTAAATGGATAGTCATCTAAATAATATGCACAATGATTAAATAAATATATAGGGTTAAACAACTAAGAATTCATATAAAAACAAATGAAATTTTTGGTCCTCCTGGTACACTCATTTGATGTTTTTGAAAAATTATCAATCTAATTATCTTGCAAATGGCAAGATTTAACTTTATGTGAGTGTAATTCTTTGAAGGTAACCCTTAACTAAATTATAAAAATTGTTAAACTATGATGATTTTGATTTGATACGCGAAATTAAACTATAATTTATATAAGAATGAATATTCAACATAGGATGAATCTTGGCAATTTTCTCTTTCCAGTTAGATAAATAGGATGTTTTAAAGGAACATTATAGGCCCATTCTAGGCATATCTATCATGAAGTGCTACTGGAGTTACAGTAGTATATAGGTTCAGGTTTAGGAGAAATCTCTATCATGAAGTGCTACTGGAGTTACAGTAGTATATAGGTTCAGGTTTAGGAGAAATCTCTATCTTGTAGGACTGCAGGAGCTACTGTAGTATCTAGGTTCAAGGTTTAAGAGAAATCTCTATCTTGAAGGACTGCAGGAGCTACTGTAGTATCTAGGTTCAAGGTTTAAGAGAAATCTCTATCTTGTAGGACTGCAGGAGCTACTGTAGTATCTAGGTTCAAGGTTTAAGAGAAATCTCTATCTTGAAGGACTATTGGAGCTACAGTAGTATCTAGGTTCAAGGTTTAAGAAAAATCTCTATCTTGAAGGACTGCAGGAGCTACCAAAGTCCACATGTAGATCGCGAAGCAGAACCAAGATGAAATAATCTTCACCCAGACAGCTGACATGTTGGAGGAGATAGTTTCTAAAGGAAAATAGAAAAATAAGAATAATCGGGATTTAACTAATTAGAAAGATTCTCAAGCCTGATTTGAGAATTTAAGGTTGATTTTAATTATTATTATTATAATTATTACCTATAGAGATATCCTTCCCAGGAGCATACCAGTTGGTAAGGGTCATCATGACGTAGAGGGTAGCCAGGGCGAACATCAGGTGGAACATTGACCAGGAGTAGTGGACTCCATCATGCTCGGAGTCAGAGGAACCTAGGACAATACTTTATGAATAGGAGAGGTCGCCGAACTAGCCGGTTCAAATTCTAAATCACCGACTCAAATCCTCATGAATCTTAAACTTTGAATCGGTGATTCAAATTTAAACAGATAGGTAGCTCAAATTTATTAAATTAGATCCCTTGACAATTAATTAAAATGTTAATTTAGGGTAATTTCACGTGACCCTCCTTCTAAAAAATTCACAACTGTATCCATAAAAACATTAAAAACTTGTCAGTAATAAACTCCTTTTAAGCTATAAAAACAAATAAATCTTCCACATTATTGATCCAATAAAGACGTAAAGGGTACCATTGTAAATCGGTCAGAGTCCTCTTTATTAAGAAGGTCATATAAAAATACAACGACATTATTTATATCAGGTTATATTTATACAAATGCGATGAACTAAAAGATAAATTTGAAGTAAATATTGTTGTGACAATTTTTCCTTCGTAACTATTCCATTGTCAACTTTGCATTATTGATGAGAATTATTTTTGCTGATGTTATTCATGTCTGCCGAACAATGAATATTTTCCCACCCTCGGGCGCTCGTGATGATAAAAAATATAATTTAAAAAAGAAAATTAATTTGATATTGATTAATTGATTTCATGGTTAAATCCAACCTGAAGATTCTCCCTCATTTACTGAACTACTCTCAGGGTCGGTCAGATGAATAGTATCCGTCATAGTTAGTCTAGCAGCCTGCTCAGTAGAACTAGTCCTAGAGTATACATAGTTAGTTTAGCAGCCTGTTCAGTAGAACTAGTCCTAGAGTACACAAAGTTAGTCTAGCAGCCTGTTCAGTAGAACTAGTCCTAGAGTATACATAGTTAGTCTAGCAGCCTGATCAGTAGAACTAGTCCTAGAGTATACATAGTTAGTCTAGCAGCCTGTTCAGTAGAACTAGTCCTAGAGTATACAATAAACATAGTTAGTCTGGTTAAATTATATTACCTAATGCTAGAGTAGAGTACACAGCAGAACCAAACAATCAACCCAATGATACCGGCAGTATCCATACTAGGACTACTTCCATCCTCGCCCTTTAATCAAAACAAATCAAATCACAAGTTTCAGGGATAGCTCAAGACTTCAGTAGTGGAACAAAATTTCAAGTCCTGGTTATTCAGCCCAGGCATCTTTGTTTAATAAAAGTTTAAGTTTCTTTTTTTTTAAATTGCTAACTTAAAAATAACTTTTTGCTCTCAAAATCCAAACCTCAACTGTTTGAAAAAAGAGAGAATTTATAATTTTTGAGTCTGAGTGGGTTTAGTATAAAATTAAGAAAAAAAGATGAAAACTAATTTGAAAGCTCTTCTTAAGGTAAGAAGAAATTTAAGGACCAAGATCTGGATCCATTTTTTTTCATGGCAGATCCAGTATCCGGATCCACATAACAATGAAATGAATCCTAAGCACTTGTTACCTCGGTGTTGGTCTGGGTTTTATTCCCGAACACAAGCTCAGCCAGATCCGGTTTACAACCTAGTTCCAGGGGACATTCAAATATTGATTTCACACAAAAGGCAAACCACATTTAGGAAAATCCAAGAATAGGGGAACTTGAAAATGGAAAATGACAAGCCCCTACTTATAAAGAAATTGTGAATTATCGCATGTCATGACTAGTGGTACACTTGTAAAACCCTTTATTTTCTAATTACAAGTTTATGTCAAAGTAATGTTAAGTGATTCTCCGTTTAAAGAGTTTGATGCCCGATTAACAACAATAAAAAAGAAAAAAGAAGATATCCTTGTTTGTTTAATTTCCTTCATAATTGAGTAAATTGTCAAGAATGAATAAGGTATCCAAGCCCTATGCCTGATTAACAACAATAATAAAGAATAAAGAAGATATCCTTGTTTGTTTAATATCCTTCATAATTGAGTAAATTGTCAAGAATGAATAAGGTATCCAAGCTTTATGATTATTTTCAATTGTAGGTTGTCTATAAAAACAAACTTGTGGATATAACCAATAGATACACAATGAAGAGTCAAACACTTTCTAAAAAAGGAAATCGTTGATATCTTCCTTATTGTTGCTTAGATTTAGATAAAGGTTTAAAGGGAACTGTTGAGAATAGTACATACAACTTTTTACAGTCTCTTCAATTACAACTGCCCCCTGCCTGGGTCAGGTTGGTTGGACATGGCGGACCAGGTAAGGTAGATGATGTACAGAGACACGAAGCTGGACTGGAGTAGACCAGAGTTAGGTTGATGTTCCTAAACAACATCTTCTTATTTTTCTTTTTAAATTTGATTTGTTTTGACATTATTCATTTGACAAATTTCTTTTTTTAAAGGTTACAAAACTTTCTTGTTTTTTCTTTTCTTTAATTATTCAAGTTTTTGGTTTGTATTATTCATTGGATAGCATTTTTATTTATGTTTTTGCTTATATCTGTAATATTATAGGACGAACTCCAGATGATGCCAAAGTTTTAGCGAAATATATTGCCTGTATTTTCTTTCAGGATCCAATTTGGAATTATGGTTTGTTTGTTTGTTTTCAAATTTTTCATTCTAACATTCTGCCAAATTTTGGCCCTGACAGAAAATATAGACAAAAACAACCTAAAGCAACCCAAAGATGACCCAAAAACGACCCGAAGATGACTCAAAGACGACCCAAAGAGGAACCAAAAACGACCCAAAGACGAACCAAAAACGAACGAGTCTTAAGGATTGTTTTCCATTATTTTTATGAAACAAATATTACAAAGTTTATTAAAAGCAAACCTAAACTTAAAACAGTTTGAAAATCTTGGAAGTTATATCAAAAGTTTTTAAAAACCATTAAAAACCCATTTACAATATTGACGTGAATTAACCTGTACAATTGGTAGAACTGAAGTTATAGAGAGGATAATGCAGAGGAGCATATTCAAGGAGATAAAGAACTCATGCAGTTTACATTGTCCATGTACAGTTCCTAAAAATATACATAAATGTACATAAATTATAAACATTCAAGGAGAAAAAGATCTCGTGTAGTTTACAGTTCCTAAAAGAAAAGTTATGCTGTATAATGTCCATGTACAGTTCCTAATAGTAAAGATATGCTGTATGTTTTCCATGTACAGTTCCTAATAAGATATATGCTGTACAATGTCCATGTACACTCAGCACCTAATAATAGAGATATGCTGTACAATAAGGATGAAAGATTTTTCACAAATTTGAAATAACAAATATTCAAGGAGATAAAAACTCGTACAGTTTACAGTGTCCATGTACAGTTCCTAAAAAAAGAGAGGTATGGTGTACACTGTACACTGTGTATAAGTGATTGCTTATCTATCTGTCCGTTTGTATCCAATAAACTTAAAAACGACGGAACCGATCGGACCCAATTTTTTTGTGGAACCTCACAGGACCCCAGGGAAGGTTTATGGATGGTTAAAAAATCGGGTTTTTTTATAATCCACAAAAAAAGTCAATAAATCCGCATATTTTAATTTGTTATTCTTTAATAAATAAAGAAGGGAAAATGCCGCAGATAGAACAACAATAAAAAGTTAATATCGAAGATGGGTGCGATGGAAGCCTAGTAATAAAATATAAAGTGTTAATTACCAGTATAGTATGAGTAGGCTAGGATGATGGAGATGAAGGTTGCGAGGTAGAAAACACCGGTGAAGGCCAGAAGTGCGTAGAACCAACGCTGATCCTGAATTAAGTTAAATAATAATAAACTGAGGTGTAGGAATTAATGAACTAGTTTAACTAGGTAGGTATATTGCTAATTGAACTACTTGTCCAGTTCAATCTTGGCCACAATAAAGTAGTTCTATCTGACATAGTCAAATTACTCCTTGCTTTGTTAAAGGACAGTTATGATGATCAAAAATTCTTTTTATTCATCTTAAAGAATAAATTTTATATATATACATATTAAAAACGTGTAATCTTTATGTACACAATGACTGAGACCTGAAAAAAAACGTACTCTTAATGTACACATTGAATTGTATATGAAAAGACGTGTACTCTATGTACACAAAACTTGTACTTGAAAAAACGTGTATTCTATATTTACACAATGGCTGGTACAAGAAATAACGTGTACTGTTTATGTACACAATGACCTGTACCTGAGAAGCCGAGTACTCCGCCTGCCATGATTCAGCCCAAGAATGCGCGAAGTCGATGATAAGCACAAGTTGTATGATAATGAAGAGCATGCCTCCAATAAGTCCAACATACATCCAAGTGGGTCCGAACCCACCGTGAGGAATAAAGAACGCGCCAATACATCCTGGAAAGTTAATTTTTAAAAACTGAACTATTTCTAAAAATCAAAGCATGTAATTCAAATAAGAAAAGTTCAAGTAAAACATTTTTGACCAGTAGTCGGCGTTTTTATCAATAAAATAAACACGACTTTTTTATTTAAGCTTTGATTTCTAAGTAGCTTTTTTCAATTTACAAGTTTACAAGTAAACAAAAAAAAGAAGCTGCTAATTGACAGCTTCTCTTTGTTTCCATGTTTATGTGTATCAATGCTGTTTGAATGTTTGATTGGCATCAAACTTAAAATCGAAAGTCGTCTTCATTGTATTGAGATATACTGGAAATGAAACATACAATATACATTATACAAGAGACTACCTCCGATGATAAGAAGATACTTCACTCCCCAGAATCCATTTTGTAATCCAGCTCGGGGATCCCTGAAATCCAGAGAAATATATTTTTTAGAAAAAAAATTTTTTCCTACACCTCTTGAAAAATCCCACCTCCTAATCATAACAGATATGTTAATGCTAAAGTGGGGCGAAAGATAAGAAAATTTGTCTGCTCAATTCGGAAAATTATTTGAGTGGAAATATAAATATTAAAGAAGTGCAAAAACTTACCAGTTGATATACAATTTATATCCCAATTCTTTGTTGCGTCCCATTTTTTTCCAGGGGGGGGGTGTGATCCCGTTATTCCCTATGATAAGTCGTCATTTAATACCTGGATGTCTTGACCTTCAGCATGAGAACGGCCATCACCAGGAAGAACAGAGTCACGACGAAGCATATCCTTAAAATTATTCATTAATCCTATATTCCTTGACTTGGGTCAATTTCATCTATATCTATATAAAGTAGTAATCTCTGTTTTGTTTGTTAGTATGCCCGATCATAGCCTAGGAACCCCTTGACTGATTTGCCAAAATTTTGACTGAAAAACTCTTCAGAACCAGGGGAATGTTCTATGCTAGGTTTAAAACGTCCAGTTGAGTCAAGTTTTCAGGCATGGTATTACATAAAGTAGTAATCTCTGCTTTACTGTATGTCAGATCAGAATTCATTAACCCCTACAACGATTTGCCTCAAATCTTGTTCTGAATTTGGACTTCAAATTTTAATACGATAAGGTTGACTTATATAGAGAAAATTTGGTTCCAAATAAAAAAGTTTAGCGTTTAAATATCCTACATTATTAAGTTATTATTTGAATTGACGTCGGACTTATTGAATATCGAGTTGAACTTTGTATACAAAGTAGGAACTACTTCTCTTAACTGTACACTCTCGTTCTATTAAAGAATTAGTTCAACTATTCATTAATTCCCACCTCTGAATCCCATTAACTTTTTTTAACCGGATCTGTATACAATACAAACAACAAATACAACTTCATAAAACTAAATTTCAAAATGCTTAAATAAGTTCAAAAAGAGGACATTTTCTTTTTGTACCTGTACACAGCAAGGTATCCAATTGCATCATCGCATTTGATTTGAACACTAGTTACCCCTAGGTCAGCCATTTTCTGCATCATAGCTGAGGTCACTGAACCAATATTCAAATTATTATTAACAATTGTCTATGTTGGCCTAAAAAATATTTTCCTGAGTCCCATTCATTGAAATACAATCCTGCCATAAACTTTATTTTATTAGTTTTTGCAAAACTCTCCTTAATAACTCCGGAAATTGTCCATGGAATTTGTTAGAAAATTAGAACTTTAAAGCTTTGAAAAATAAGACTTACGCGCCCTTCTTTCATACTTTTCCACAAAAAAATCGATTATTTGAAACCAATTAAATTTAGCATTACAATCTTTTTCACAAATCCTTTCTAGCAATTGATAAATTTGTTTGAATTTGATTCCTGAATGTGACTCCTCACAGAATGGGAGCTTGGTTAGCCAGTCCTGGATCCCCGGGGCCAGCATCAGGCAGGACACCACCAGGGTGACCAGCAGTAGGAAACCGTACATTATCCTCGACGCTGTAGAGTTCTATAATATTAGAGACTGTAGAGTTCTATAATATTAGAGACTGTAGAGTTCTATAATATTAGAGACTGTAAAGTTCTATAATATTAGAGACTGTAGAGTTCTATAATATTAGAGACTGTAGAGTTCTATGATATTAGAGACTGTAGACTGTAAAGTTCTATAATATTAGAGACTGTAGAGTACTATAATAATAGAGACTGTAGAGTTCTATAATATTAGAGAATGTAGAGTTATATAATATTAAAGAGTGTAGAGTTGTCTCATATTAGTGACTGTAGACTGTAAAGTTCTATAATATTAGAGACTGTAGAGTTNGCGCACACCCAGCTGTACAAGCTGTTGAAGTAAAGCAGCAAGCCAGACTGGTAAGGCTTAGAACCCCACCCATCCTTAAAATAAATACGTTAGATGCATGCTTATACTTCAAAATCTCTTGACATGTTTATGCTCCACTTGCTCTTTTTATAATGCCTGGACTTCTTTAACTCAGTTGCAAAAAATAACAAGATTTTAATTGAAGTTACAAAGATATGTTTTTAGAAACAATCTATTTAAAGAGTACACTTCTTGAACACAATTATCTCACAACAATATTTTAGAGAGTGCTGCAAAAGATATCTAAGGTTACCATTAAATATAACGCAATTTTTTGCTAACCTATATATTAATCTATATTACAAATAAAGTTGATNTAGGGTTCCATGTAGTAGTTTCAGGTAATCTATTTATTTTATTTAAAGAGAATCGCTGGGGTTGTTCCTGGCCCCAGGCAATCCCACCCATCAGCACTCCCCCTTATGATAATAAAGGAATATACCTTAAAATCTTATATGGTTGAACACAATGATAAACTGAGTTATAGTAGTACGAATTTGACGTGTACCCTATAAAAGGACCAAGTAACAAACTAAATAAAGGGAACCCAAAACTCTAAATTAGAGTAAAAGTTTTTTACTTTTACTTTAAGAGGTTTTCGGAATAAATCGATTGATTTCTACTTCTTCTTGCAAGATTAGAAATGAAGGACAATACCTTATTCTTCGATGTTTCTTTGTTTAACTAATTCTGTTTGAAGCTAGAACAGATTTTTTCAAAAATTCTGAATTACAACGCAATTAATTCGTATGGGAGAATCAGCTGTTTAATCAATAACAAAGAGAATTCAAAGACGACCTGTTATTGATGCCAAATCAATGGAACTACGAACTAAACGATCAATAATTAATCGAAAATGGAGCAGTTTTTTAAAAATCAATTAGACGAATTAGGCATAAATATGGATAGAATTTTTATTCGACTTTTTATTTCTTGTTTAATGTTGCAATGAAACAAACAAGAATAAAAAAATTCAAAGTTTCAAAATAAAGACGACTGGAATTTTTCGCTAAATCCGTTAAAATTTGCGGCAAATTTGAGTTTATGCGCATTACGAAATCTATCGCTATCAGTCTAATAATTCCAATTAGACATAAAATTCATAACGTTCATTTTTCCCTCCCAAGATTGTTTTTATGCTTAGCTAATAAATGAGGAATTAAATAAAAGGAGTCCGTCTTAGTATATGATTTTTGTACCCCGGCCACCCCTCCTATCAATTTTGCACACATGCATGGTCACTAATTTTCAGCAAAATTATTATTCATTTATTATTATTTTAGGGTTAGGTTCAGCCATTTTCTGGGTCGAACGTTGTGGCTAGGACAGGCTAGAGGGGCCTAGCGCTGCGGTTAGGAGGCCGAGCGCCGCGGCTAAGAAATGTTAGGGGGCCGGGCGCTGCGCCCACATGACCAATTATATCCATGTGTTACATGTGAGATCCATGTTCAAAATTGANTACACTAGGAATTTTCGATTTAAGTATTCACCAAAGGCAAACTATTGTTTAGTCATTGTGGATGGTTGAATGGTTTTCACTTAGAAATTCGAGCTTTTTGGTTAAAAATCCAGATAAGATTGAGTAAACTTCAAAAGTACTATTTTTTCCTAATTATTATTTATTGTAGAAATATGTATTTATATTTATTTATGCTGATGTGGTTAAACTGTTATGTATTCAGCACTAAAGTGTGGGGTCCAGGTAAATGTTTTAAGTTAATCATTATTTTGTTTTCTGGCCTCGTTACAACACATGCCTTCCCCCCGCCCCTCTACGGTTCCCTCCAATGGGGTAAGAAGGTGAAATGTCAGGAGCTACATTTTAGAATTCGATTTTTATTTTGTAACTACTAGATGTTTTATTATTCAATTTTTTTTGAGTCCGGCCCCCCTTCCCTCCGCACCCCCCTCCCATCAAATTTGTACTTGCATCTTATATGTAACTCATGGCCGCAGCGCCCGGCCCCCAGCCTTTCCTAGCTTCAGCGCTCGACCCTGAAATTTTATTCTCCTTAGCTAATTCTTCAGTATTAATAAATGGACACTAATATTCATGTTAAAATTACTTAAAATCGAGGTCATGTACAAAAGTTATAGGGGACGCGAAAATCTGTCACATAGGGCTGAACTCAATTCTCTTGCCCAAGTCTATGATTTACAACAATTAAGAACATTAATTAAAATCCAAGTCGCTCGTACGTATTTGGACCTCGAAATTTGCAAGATTTGCCAGTTAACAAGATTTTTTTGTTGAAAATACAAATTTTCCCAGGTCTAAACCCGTCTCAGATATCTCTTCCTTGTCGATACTTCTTCGTCCAGCTGGAGGACGAGGCCGGGGTTAACATTACCACAAAGTTGGAGGACAGTATAGAGGTTAGGGGACTCGTCTCATAATCTAGGATCTGGATCTCTTGGATCCGCAACCTTTTGGCTTCATCAGGATCCAAGGGAAAAATACCAATAAAAACTATAGAAAATAAAACTGTTTGCCACAGAATATGAACTGTTGAACGAAAAAGAAAGATTGTTCAAAAATTCTTTATTTCTGAATAATTTTTTTTAGGTTATAACATAAAAATGAGCGAAGAAAGAGAAAAAATTCTTCATTTGCAATAAAACCTTAAAACCCTAAAGAAATGTTCATGATATATGGATCCTTTTTTTCTGGATCGATCCAGGATCTGGTTCCGCATGAAATGAAATGGATTCTAAGCACTGATCTAAATTTATCGTGATAATGATTAATAAAATGTAAATTACTTGTTGAGCCTTTAAATATTTTGAAACATTTCCACTCTCGGAAATTACATTTGAACTGAGAGTTGCAGTATATTTTCTCAAAAAATCATTTTTTTTACCAGAAGATTTATCATTATTTAGGGTTTTATTTTTAAACTAATGGTTTTTAGTGGAAAATCAAAGAATTTTAGGCATAAAGTATCAAAAGAATAACAAAGGTTGACGTTCAATTTTCCTTTCCCCCTAGAAATCATCGAAAATCATCTCGCCCNTGATTAAGGTGCTTGTGGAGGGGGATAACACTGCTATCCCTTTTAGAGCCTTCTCTGAGATATTTAACAAGAATAACGGGTTCTTTATTGTCAGATATAAGGTAATAAATATAGTTACCAAGGGGTTCAAAAGCAAGAGGGCCAGTTAAAAATAAATAATTGAATTTTATAATATTTTTTCTTCTAATCCCTCCTCCTCCTTGCTTCTTTAACTAGAAGTATTATTAATATACAAGCAAAAAAAAGAAGATAACAAATTTATTGTTTTCATATATTTAAATAGATTTGCAAGGAGATATTCGTAAAATCTGAAGATGTTTCTTAATTTCGAAATTTTCTCACATAAGTTGACATGTTTTCCAAGAATAAATAAAAAATTTAAGAACAGAAAATAAAGAACACATTTAACTGAACTTATTTTACTGTAAGATAAGCACTTTATTCTAAAATTGTCACTATTATTAATAATTTTGTCGGACACAAAAACTGAATTGACACTTGTGACGTCAGCATACAGCTGTACTGAGAGTGTACAAATTCTACGTTGCCATCTATTGTACTTGAATCTATTTAATTTTTACATTGTATTCTTAAATAGGTGTATCATGCTTGCGATAATGTACGGATACAAGTACTCGTGAATGGAAGCTTAGTGTACGGTCCTATTTATGTACAGGGAACTGTACAACCAGATCACTGTAATTGTCCAGAGGTAAATGTCTTGCCTTATTATTGCTATTGCTATTGCTATTGCTATTGCTATTGCTATTGCTATTGCTATTGCTATTGCTATTGCTATTGCTATTGCTATTGCTATTGCTATTGCTATTGCTATTGCTATTGCTATTGCTATTGCTATTGCTATCTAAGTATCATGTCCTATAGGCTATTTTACGTCTACCTCCACAAGTGTTGAGCTCCTAAACACTTACCCTTGTCTGTTTTGGTTTTACCCTAAAATATTTAGATAAATCTGAGAAAATAAACAGAAATTAACGACAACGGATTGAAATCTTGTCAGAAAGCATTGATTGATTTATTCTCAATATTTCAGGGAGATTTAAAGAGTATAGGGTTCTATAATATNATCCCACCAGATGATAAAGGATCTTGCTCCCTGGTCCAATGGGGTCAAGTTTGCTGAAAAATTGGCGAAAGCTGAGAAATTATTCGCAAATCCCGGAGCACATGCCTGGTGTCATTATGTAATAAAGGTAGTCAAACAAGTTTGACAAAATTATTAAAGGGATTGCAGGAAAGTTTAACGAAATTTGAAGGATATTAAAGGGACTGTATGCACATGTTTCAGACGACCCTCCATGCAAAGAACCTGATTCAAAACTGCACATTTGAAGCTTTTATCTGATCAATACTAAGGAAGATACTATTTTTTTAGGTTTAAAAGTGTCTAATTCTGATAATTCCAGTATGCTTTCCTGCAGTAGAAATGCCTTAGTCACTTTTGTAGAGAAAAAAAAACAATTGAAACATTACTAACTTATTCTTACTTGAGCTGGAAAAGCTTTTAAGGGTACTGTTGTGAATCGGGCATTGTTATCTTTGCTTGGAAGGTCACTTGACATTACGCTTACAGTCCCTTTAATTTGTTATAAAGACTGTCGTTATAAATTCAAGTATTCCCGACGGACAACATTTGTTTCTTTACAAGATCAATAATGTGGAATATTAAATTAAATGGAATCTATATATATAAAGTTGTAATCTCTGTTCGTCTGTTTGTTTGTCCGATCATGACTTAGGAACCCCCTGGGCCGATTTCCCTCAATTTTTGAATGGAGAACTAGGGAGACCAAATGGGCTGACATTTTTTGAGAAAACCCATGGGCACCCTGGGGGTAACATTTTTTTTTCAATGTTTGAAATTTTCAAAAAATTTCCACGGGCAACGCGGGGAACTTTCGCTAGCATTAAATAAAGGGAATATTACAACTCAAAGAAATAATAAACATTGTATTAATAAAAAATTGTAAAAGTATAGATTGATCGTTCCTTTTTTTCTAGGATAATCGTATTTATCGTAAATGCTACGGACAACATGTTGGTTTCTCTATGTTTTGGGATTCTGTACTAGGCTGGTTTACTCGGCACACTAACCTGCCTGACCTGGAGATTATGGTCAACCTAGGTAGGATGTATACAGGGGTGTATATTTTCTCGAAAAATAATTCCCCCCCCCCTAACTTCGAAAATAATTTTTCCACAGACGTTATTTTTTTTAGGGGTTTATTCTTTGAATTTAGGAAAATAAATGATTTTTTGACGAAAATTAATGAATTTTTAGGTAAAAAGTATCAAAAAGACTGATGTCCAATTTTACCCTTCCCCCTCCAGAATCATCATGAATCATCCCCCCCCGGGCCGGGGGGGAGGGGAAGTTCGAAAAATATTCACCGCTATTATTATGGTTATATCGTTATATCGTTATATCGTTAAATCGTTAAATCGTTATATCGTCAATCGTCCAATCTCCATCGTCCAACCTTCATCGTCAATCGTTCATCGTCAATCGTCAATCGTCAATCGTCCATTGTCCATCGTCCATCGTCAATCGCCAATCGTCCATCGTCCATCGCCAATCGTCAATAGTTATATCTTAAATCGTCAATAGTTATATCGTTATATCGTTATCACACTTAAAATATATTGTTCAGGTGACTGGCCCCTGATTAAAGAGAAGAATTCTGATATCCCGATGTTCTCCTGGTGTGGTAGCCAGGATACACAGTAAGTTGAACCTGCCCCACTTACCCTTTCCCCTTTAAATGTTGGTCAAGAAAGCCCAAATGAAATTAAATATTAGTTTTAAATCAGCCTTTTCTCATTCCTTTTTTGGAAAAAAAACGGGTCGCCCAAAAAGGATTTTTTTTTCAGGGGCACCCTACATGTTTCATCTCTAAAGTTGTTATTATAGGGAGGGAGGGGGGCTTGAACTCCAAGTCTATTAGTATGCAAGTCTTTATCTACTTAGTCCTTTAAAAAAATTTGTCGCACACCCTACCCTCTTTCCCACCTATGGATAATAAAGGTTTAATATATAAAAATATATCTTTCACAATATCAAATAAAGGTTTAAAAGGTAATGTTGGGAAAACATGGTCACTTGGAACAATGTCAAGAACATCTTAAATTAATAAGATATTTTTGAATGATTAGATGGGAAGAAAAGGAGGAGAAAATGTTCTGGAAAGGAAGAGACAGTAGGAGGGAAAGATTAGACCTCATCAAAATTTCTAGAAAGGAAATTTCAAAATATTCAGTTTTTGGCCATTTTTTTATCTAAGCATAACAGAGATGACCACTGACCAGCGACCATAACGGTAGAATCAATTCAAAACGAATAATTTAAACAAAAGTTTATGTTAAAAATTCTTTGGAAATTTTGAATCCCTTGTATATTTGAAACTGTCAATTCCTAAAATTCTAAGAAAGAAAGACCAATGTTGAAAGTATGTGACAGTACAAAATATACACTTCTAATGCAAAATAAAGACGTCAAGAGACCTTATTGGGAATCTGTTTATTTCAAACCTTTGCTGGAATTAGAGTGTTTACAATTAGGTTTACTGAAATTAATTAATTGCTGTTTTGATATTTGCAGGCGTGGGGGTAATTTTTCCAGTGTACTATTGAACTGGGTTTATATTAATCTATATTTTTATGAAAAATCATTCCCCCCCCCCTCTCAAAAATAATCCTTCCCCCCCTCGGATTTTTCTTTTCTTAAAGGGGAGTCAAATTTTTATATAAAATAGTAATCTCTGTTTGTCTGTCTGTTTGTATGTATGTCCGATTGTAAGCCTCAAATTTTGATTGGGGAAATCAGTGCAATGACGGGAATGTTAGTTGGCAAATTCTAAATTATATTTATTTTCCCTCCAAAATAATTATTTTACCTCAAAAATACATTATTTTCCCTCCAAAATAAATTATTTTACCCCAAAAATAAATTATTTTGCCTCCAAAATAAATTATTTTACCCCAAAAATAAAAAAATATTTCCCCCAATTCAGCGAAAAAACCATCAAATTTAAAAAATCAACTTTATGGGGTAAAAAATAAGGGAGGAGGGGGTTATAATTTTTCAAAAATAAATTATTCAAAAATAGATACAACCACAGCACTGAGCAGTGAGCGGCGTAGATAGCACTATATTAAAAGATATTTTGATTATTGACCTAGCAGCACCCCGAACTTATCAATGCCTCCATCACCAACTGGTTCTTCTTCCGGGACGAGATGGAAGAGTACGGAGGGAGGAGCAGTCCTGTTCCTTTCTTCTCATTCTTTAATTATAAATATCAGCTCAATATTGATGGAACAGTCGCAGCATACAGGTAGAATATACAGGGAGTCCAAAAAGGGGGTTTTAAGCCTTTTTTTGCGTTATAAAGCATCGAATTTGGGCCTCAAGGTTTAACTTGTAATAATTTTTTTTTTATTTTCTTTGTTTTGTACCTTAATTTATTTATTTTTTAATGCTGGTAGAATTCTCAGTTTCTTTTTTAACTTTGGTCTAAACATGTAGAAAGTAGAAAATATGTAGAATCAATATTATTTGCCTGCGGATCCGAATCCTGGATCACTCCTTTTATAAATGGATTTTAAGTCGGACCACACTCTATATGTCTATTTCATTTTGATTTTCAAAAAACAAATTACGATTTTTTTTTTGTTGACTGTCAAGAGATTTCCCTTCCATTTTATTTCTGTTGCACAAATATATAGAAGAAAACAAACAATTTTAAACAGAGTTAAGTTGACATCTCAGATTTAACAACAGACTTCAAAACGATGCTCAATAATAGTGGTGAGCTGAAAGTTTGTCGAATCGAGGAGTTAGAGAGATTTTTATTTTATTTTGACCGTACTTGTAAGGACTGCTGAGATCTAGTTATATACAATCTTAACAAACACAAATATCCTGAACCAGGTCGAAATTTTCTTGGCCGGACTTGGGAAATCATCATAATTCAATATTTGCAGTCATAAAACGTCAGACCAAAACTAAGACCGAATTTAAATTATTTAAACTTTATCGCCCAACTACCTCTTCAATCACCGATTTCAAGGTTGAGTCTCATGAGGATTTGATTAAAAACTTTTAAACTTAACGGCGGAAGGGAGTTCAGCGACCTCTCGCGATTCAATAATTTGTTCCCTAATCCTGTATGTGCCTGATATATTCAAACCAAATGTTCTGACAAGACAAGCAAAACATGAAGCTATGACTTATTTGTCCGAAAAGTGAATGAAGAAAAAGTTTGGGCGTATACGATGGNTGAAGGGGATGGAATTTGTCGTAAAAACGGTAAAATACATGACTCAGGGTCTGAATTGGATCAACACACCAAGGAAAAATGTATTGTTGTGTTCATGCATAATCCTTAACTTTATAAATTAAAACAAAAATATCTTCTTAGAACAAATTATTCTGTTGTGCAGGATCAGATTTTGTGGGCTAAAGCTAATGATGATAAGGTTCTAGAAATCTCTAGAAACGCCCAACAGTTTGTTCTAGACAACCTGCTCCCCCATCAGGTGCTCTGCTACCACGCCCACCTCTTAAACCTGTGGGCGGGACTTCTCAGGAAATCCTCTGTCTACTCCAGCCATAAATTTGCAATGTTAGAGCTTGAACTGACTTTAACGGCTTTTATATAGTTAAAAGCTAGATGTCCTGTTCTATTTTAGTTCTAAACCAGTTTAAAATCTCATCTAAGCTTTTTGCTAGAATATTTCTTCAACAAATAGCATTATTATGAAATCATGATCTCCAACTGTAATTGCATTATTGCCATTGACATTTAACAACTAGTCTTACTAGTCAGTTATCCTGTTAAACGAAGAAAACTCGTGTGTTTTTTGTTTTCTCACTCAAATTTTTCCATCATCTATATATATATAGTAGTAATCTCTTCTTGTATGTCATAACTCAGGAACCCCTGAACGGATTTGCCTCAAATTTTGATTTGATGAACTTGGTAGAACCAAGGTAATGTTCTTAGCTTTGCTCTTAGCTTTAACTCTATAAAGAAAACTTAATTTCAAGGCAAAGCTGGGTTCCCAAGCTAGTATTACCTATTATTTACACAAAGCATTTATATTTCGAGATTAAAAAGATTATATAAAGGGATTGTACCAGAGGGATTTCAATGACCCTCCATTTTAAAAGTGATAAATCTGCAAGGGCTCCCTTAAAACCGATGATATATGTAACATAATGTAAATAGAAACTTATGTCGAGTTCCCTTTTTTCATTTTTGTATAAATCCACCAGTCTCTTTTATAGAAAACCACATTAAAACACATTTGCTTAGACAAGGGTTTGAAAGGCAGATTTTGAAATTCTTAAAATGTAGGGTTAGCTTAAATTATTTCGTAATTCCTTTTGATACCGTTGAAACTAAAACTATGTTACAAAATAGTACAAGCCCAAGTGAATACTCATAACCTTCGATTATAATTGTAAAATCAACTATGCATTGTTTCACCTGTGATATATTATACATGTTTGTGCCTTTTCGAATGATTTTTTTTTCTTTTCTCTTAGTTTGTGTGTTGATTGGTTGATTGCTTGAGTATTGTGTATATTGTCTTATTGGGAAAACTGTCTCAGTTACTTTCAGGGTCTTATACAGGAGTTTT